AGGTGGATCACGAGGTCAAGAGATTGAGACCATCCTGGTCAACATGGTGAAACCCCGTCTCTACTAAAACTACAAAAAATCAGCTGGGCATGGTGGCGCGTGCCTGTAGTCCCAGCTACTCGGGAGGCTGAGGCAGGAGAATTGCCTGAACCCAGGAGGAGGAGGTTGCGGTGAGCCGAGATCGTGCCATTGCACTCCAGCCTGGGTAACAAGAGCGAAACTCCGTCTCAAAAAAAAAAAAAAAAAGTGACCACATAGACTTCTGAGAGATGCATCTTGAGGCCTTGTCCTCAAGTCTTTAGCTAAATGGCCTCAGCTGACCAAAAGGGTACTTGTAAGACACTCCAAGGCAAGGGATGTCCCTCACATTGCCCTTGACAACTGCCACACTGTTCACTCACCTGACCCCATGCTGCTGGGAGCAGGGCAGGGATGCAGAGCCATCTTACAGAATGGCCCGCTTCTGTAAGAAGATGTAAGAATCTTTGTAAGAATACAAAGATGCCCCCCCCAATGCACCCTGCACCCCCACAGGCTCAGGGCCTGCCAGCCACCCTTCTCCAAGCAGGAAAGGAGGAGGCTTTTTTTGTCGTTTTTGAGACAGTCTGGAGTGCAGTGGTGTGATCTTGGCTCACTGCAGCCTCGAACTCCCCAGGCTTAGGCGATCCTCCCACCTCAGCCTCCCGAGTAGCTAGAACCACAGGTGCCTGCCTCCACGCACAGCTAATTTTTGTATTTTTTGTAGAAACAGGATTTTTGCCGTGTTGCCCAGGCTGCTGTGGCACTCCTGGGCTCAAGGGATTCTCCTGCCTCGACCTCCCAAAGTGCTGGGCTTACAAGCATGAGCCACCACACCTGGTCTAGGAAATTTATTCAAAGCAAGACGCCAGCCAGCTCCCAATTGGCCCGCTGATCTCAAGCCTCAGTTTCCCCATCTGTGAGACCAGGAAAATGCCAGCAGCTACTGCCAGGAGAGGTTGTACAGGGCTTAGTGAATCCGTGGAGAGATGGGCCTGCCACGTGGTCAAATGCTCAATGGTCCTTTACCTTCCTCTTCTGGGCCTCGGTTTCCCTGAGTGTGCTGGGCCGCCCGGTACCTTCCAGTAGGGAGGGTGGGGACAGTAGCAGGCCCCGCCTGCTGGGGGGCGGGCTCCTCGGCTACCTGGCCTGACCGGGGCCTGGGGCCGGGGGGCCGGGTGGCTCCGCCAGCGCTGCAGCTGGGGGCCGTCTGCTCTGGCTGCTGGAGGGCACACAATAGCAGCCATTGTCTCAGCCGGGGCGGCGGGGGGCCCGCCCAGCCCACCCTCAGGGTGACCCCCGCCCTGAGGGGGTGGGGAGGGCCGGGCGCGGTCCCCCGCAACCCCCGCCACCCCGGTGGTCCCTGCGGCCGCCCCCGCCCGCTTCCTACCTCGCCGCAGCCGCTTCCTACCTCGCCGCAGCCGCTTCCTACTGCTCGTCCCTCTCTAATTAGATCCTTTTGCAGTTGGAGGAGCCGTGCAGCAGCGCCTGGGTCCGCGACCACCGCGGCGGCCCTCACCCCCCCACTGACGCCCCTACCGCTCATCCAAACCCCTAGGCCCTTGTGTGTGGGGGCGCTACGCGCATCCCGGGCTGGGCGCTCCAGACGCAGCCCTGGGCTCTGTGCGCCCTCCAAGCCACCCTGTCCCACCAGGGGGGAAACTGAGGCACGAGAGGCTAGGCCAGAAGGCGCAGAGGGGCGTGGGGCCTGCGGGCCTTGCACTGCGCCCGGGGAGCCCCCACGGGGTGCCCCCATCTGACCGAGAGCCGGCTCTTGCCCTGGGGACCCCGCAGTAATTAGCACCTGGGGCCTCTGGCTGAGCTTGTCCAGAGCCAGGCAGCCGGCTTCATGCTGGGGAGAGCCATGGCCACCCGCTCGTGGGCTTCACTCTGGGTTCCTAGGTTCCAGGCCCGCGGCTCCCCGATCCGGGCCTCCAAGGCTTTCAGGAGAGCAGGAACCTGGCTCTTGCCTGCCCCCTTCACCCAGCTGGGAACAAAGCGTGGAGCAGAGCCCAGAACTGGTTGATGCCGGCGAGTGGGGTGGGGTAGAAGGGGGAGGCTTTAAGGTTGGCCAAGGTCAGGACTAAGGCCAGGTCAGAGACTGTCTCCCCTCTAGGGTGGGGCCTTCATAGGAGGAAAAATTCTGGATGGGGAGGGCCTGGAACAGGGGTGCTGGGAGGTGTAGGACTAGGGGCAGTGCCTTCCTTTCACGGGGGCGGGGAGGCAGGCACTGGGCTGGGCTCTGGCCTGCATTGGAATGAACCCGTCTCCCTGGCAGGACCCAGCGGCAGGAAGTGTGTGGGGTGCCCCTGGGGACTGGGCCTGCTGATGAAAGGAGGGGCACTGGAGTCTCCCCTCTGGCTTTGGGTGGTGTGGCTGGCCCCACCCTGGGAGACAGGCTCCTCCTGGGGAAGTGTTCCCTGCAGGCCCTAAGAACAAGGTGACCCAGGGCCCCTGGCTCCCCGAAGTCCCCATCTATCCTGGGGAGGCAGTGGGGCAGGTGCCAAAGGATGTTGCTTGGGCAGCGCTGCCAGTGAGAGTCCCCGTCAGCTGAATTCCCAGTTCCCAAACCATCCTGCCCTTGTGGTCCCCTTCTCCGGAAGGGTGGGGGTGGGGGCGAGGACAGAGGCTGTGGGGAGGCCTGTGGCCCTGGGCCAGCTGAGGGACCAGGCCACCAGCCCTTCCTGGCTCCTGAATTCTTCATCAGCATAAATATTTACTTCCTTCCTCCCCGTCCAGGCTCCCAGCACAGAGGAGCTTCGGGGAGGCTGGACTGCGCCTGTGTCTAAAAATAAACAGGTAGAAGGACGATAGACACGGACAGACGCATGTAACTGGCGGGGGTTCAGGCCGAGGGCAGCTCCCTGTCCAGCCAGACAAACGATGGAGGGGACCCAGCTCCATCCATCACTGTCACCCAGCCACCTGCTGGCCAGGGTCTGGTCCCTACCCTGCCCCTCCCCCCGCCAATCTCTGAGATCCCCTGGTCCATTCATGGCCTGGGAGGCAAATTCAAACAATCTGACCACTCCCACAGGGGCGAGTGGCAGACCTGGGTCCCACGGCCAAGTGCAGCTGCCCTGGTTCTGATGACACAACCTTGGAAAGGTGGGCAGCCTCCCTGTGCTGAGACCCCCATGTCAGCCATGTTGGGGTGGGGTCTTAGGATGTGTCCCTAGAAGCAGAGGGTCTCCAGTGAAGGGGACCATTTTGTGCCCTTCTTGCTTGGAGAGTCAGGGCAGAAGGGGAGCTTGTTGGGGTAAATGGATGAGTGGGGCTCAGAACCAAGGGAAGGCTGGATCGAGGCCCTGAGTGAGGAGGTGGGGGCTGCCCTCCTGTCTTGACCCATGGGGAGCATCCGGGCAGCTCTGCCACTCACAGCCATGCTGTGAGAATATCCAAAGTATTTCACCACGTAGTAGTTACGTCCACCATGGCTGCCCTCTGGTACTGAGTAAATACCCTGATATGACGGGACCTCACCGTGTGATTGTGTGGCAGATAGATTTTCAAGGTATAGTAATCCTAATGAACAAATGCAAGGAAATACCATGTTTCACCTCTTGGTAAAAGACCCCTGCTGTGAATGTGAAGGCTGGGTTTAGAATGAAGCACTGACCTTGTTCTTGGGTCAGTGGATACTGTTAGATCATTTGCATGTGAAAAAAATTACACCAGGCTGGGCATGGTGGCTCACACCTGTAATCCCAACACTTTGGGAGGCTGAGGCAGGCAGATCAACTGAACTCAGGAGTTCAAGACCAGCCTGGCCAACATGGTGAAACCTCATCTCTACTAAAACCAGAAAAATTGGCTTAGTGTGCTGGTGTACACCTGTAATCCCAGATACTCGGGAGGCTGAGGCAGGAGAATTGCTTGAACCCGGGAGGCAGAGGTTGCGGTAAGCCAAGATTGTGCCGCTGCACTCCAGCCTGGGTGACTGAGAGATTCCATTCCAAAAAGAAAATGGAAATGATACCAGTGAAACATGCTAAGAAAAATGATAAAATTGGCCAGGCGCAGTGGCTCATGCCTGTAATCCAAGCACTTTGGAGGCCAAGGCAGGCGGATCACCTGAGGTCAGGAGTTCAAGACCAGCCCGACCAACACGGTGAAATCCCATCTTAAAAAAATATTTAAAAAAATTTTTTTTAAAAAGATCAAATTACAGCATGGGAAGTTATATTAAGAGAATATCATCTCCAGTAAAAAAAATAATTTCTACATATTTATATGTTAATCACCAGATAGAGCTTGTCGACTCTGCCGACCCTGCCCCAGCTGGCCTGGCCAGGCCGCAGTCCCCAGCTGCCCCCTGGTGGTGGCCTGGAGCCCTCGGTCTCCCTGAATTGTGAAGCCTCTCCTCCAGGCCTCTGCAGGGAGGGAGGTGGGGCCCCTGGCTGTGTCCACTTCCTCAGCTTGCCTGGTGCGAGCTCTCAGCCTGTTTTCTTGAAGGTGAGCGTGGCTGCCTGCTGGCCACCTAGGAGGATGCTCCTTGCCCCCTGGCCTGGTTCTAGATCTTTAGGGTCAAACAGGGCGGGAGTCCTGAACATGGCTCCTGCTCTGTCAGAAATGGCTGTTGGGACTCTACTAGCCAGTTCCTGGGAGATCTGGCTTTAGGCCTTGAATCTGATATTCTGGTACTTCTTAGCTCTGCCATCTGAGGGGATGCCTCTAAAAGACTTACCTCTAAAAGACTCAGTTTTGGCCAGGCGCGGTGGCTCACGCCTGTAATCCTAGCACTTTGGGAGGCCGTGGTGGGCGGATCACCTGAGGTCAGGAGTTGAAGACCAGCCTGGCCATCATGGTGAAACCCCATCTTAAAAAAAAAAAGACTCAGTTTCGCCGAGTCTGGTGGCTCAGGCATGTAATCCCAGCATTTTGGGAGACCAAGGTAGGAGGATCGCTTGAGCCTGGGAGTTCGAGATCAGCTTGGGCAACATGGTAAGACCCCATCTGTACCAAAAAAAAAAAAAAAAAAAAAATTTTTTTTTTTAAATTAGTCAGGAGTGGTGCATACCTGTAAGTCCCAACTACCAGGGAGGCTGAGATGGGAGAATTGCTTGAGCCTAGGAGGCTGAGGCTGCAGTGAGGTATGATTGTGCCACTGCACTCCAGCCTGAGTGACAGAGCGAGATCCTGTCAACAAATAAAATTCAGTTTCATGGCAAAATGGAGAACATCAGCTTTGTCTTCCCCAAGAGACTTGTGGGAAGCGGATGTGAAATCTCTGAGGAAGTCATTGGCTGTCCTCCCATGATAGCTGCAGGCCAGGTCCCTTGTAGGGTCGTCCTACCCAGGAGACAACCTCATACTGCGCCCTGCTCCTGCTCCTGTTAGACGGTCATGAGTGCAGCCTGGGGAAAAGTCAGGGGTCCCAGTGCCACAGCACAGCTCCTGTCCTTCCCCAGGTTCCTGCCTGAAGACCAGCTGGGAGCACTGCCTGCTGCCACCTCCAGCTCTAGCCTCCTCACCATGCACTCCTTGGACGAGCCGCTCGACCTGAAGCTGAGCATCACCAAGCTCCGGGCGGCAAGAGAGAAGCGAGAGAGGACGCTGGGTGTAGTCCGGCCCCGCGCTCTGCACAGGGAGCTGGGCCTGGTGGACGACAGCCCCACACCTGGCTCTCCAGGCTCCCCGCCCTCAGGTACTGGCCCTGGGCAGGGCATGGGACTCAGCCACCCTGATCCAGCTGTGGTGATAGGGAGAATGGCCAAGTGTGTCCACCAGCCTGTGGCTGCAGCCCCTCTCAGGTTTGGGTTGACGGGAAGCCCACGTGCTTGTCCTTCCATCTGCCCGGCAGTGTATGTCTTCAGGGGGATGACAGCTGCAATGCCCAGTTCACGTGGCTGGTGCACAGTGTAAACTGAGGCCTCTAGGCAGAGCTGGAGCAGCTGGTTGGGCAACCAGGCATTCAGGAGTGGCAGAAGTCCCAGGACCTGCACCCTGGACAGCAGAGACTGGGTCCCAGCCCAGCAGATGCCTCTAAGGGATGCCCAGTGCTCAGGCCCAGGGTGGTATGCACTGCATCTACTCTGCCTCCAAGTGCGGATTTAGCTAAGAACCAGATTCACTGTTTGTCCGCCTGGGACGCTGTGGGGAGCAGCCCAGCCTGAACCTGCCACTTTTCAAGAGGGAGCACTGAGGCTAGAGGGGCCTGGGAAAAGTTAGAAAGGTTCCTACCTGCCCATCTGACGGGGACCCAGGGCCCTGGGTTCGAGTCCTGTTCTGTTATTAACTTGTGTGCCAGACCAGTCCCGTCTGTAAAGCGGATACTTCCCACTCCCGGCTCCTGGTGGCCAAGCTCTTGCAGCTGGTGAATGTCAGAGATGGTGGGCAGCGTCACACATCTGTCAGCTCTACAGGTGCTCCTCGGATTCCAGGGCTCCAAGCTCCAAGCGTGGTCTGGGAGTGTGGCGGGTGTCTGCTCCCAAGGTCACATTGGGGGTTCGGAGGCAGGAAGACCTGGCCCCCCAAGGCCTCTGTGTTCCAGCACTCCCTGAATTGTGCCTCTCCCTCCTCAGGCTTCCTGCTGAACTCCAAGTTCCCTGAGAAGGTGGAGGGACGCTTTTCAGCAGCCCCGCTCGTGGACCTCAGCTTGTCACCACCATCTGGGTTGGACTCCCCCAACGGCAGCAGCTCGCTGTCCCCCGAGCGCCAGGGCAACGGGGACCTGCCTCCAGTGCCCAGTGCCTCGGTAAGGAAGGCTGAGAGTTCCAGGGAAAGGGGTGGACTGGTTTCCTGGGGCTGCCACCACCAAGTACCCCAACCCTGAGTGGTTTAAAACAACAGACGTAGGCTAGGCGTGGGGACTCACGCCTGTAATCTCAGCACTTTGGGATGCTGAGGTGGGCAGATAATGGGGTCAGGAGATCAAGACCATCCTGGCTAACACGGTGAAACCTCGTCTCTACTAAAATTAGAAAAAAGTTAGCTGGGGATGGTGGCACGTACCTGTAGTCCCAACTACTTGGGAGGCTGGGGCAGAATTGCTTGAACCCGGGAGGGGGAGGATGCAGTGAGCTGAGATTGCACCACTGCACTCCAGCCTGGGTGATAGAGTGAGACTCCATCTCAAAACAAAACAAAAAAAACCCAGACGTGTTACCCCCCATAGTTCTGGAGGCTGGAGTCTACCTGGAAAGCTCTGGGGGAGAACCTTCCCTGCCTCTCTCCTGGCTTCTGGCAATGCCTGGCACTCCTAGGCTGGTAGCTGCTTCACTCCAGGCTCTGCCCTGTCTTCACACGGCCTTTGTCCGTCTGTCTCTGAATCTCTCTGCTTTCTCTTATAAAGACACTAATCATGGCCAGGCACTGTGGCTCACGCCTGTAATCCCAGCACTTTCAGAGGCTGAGGTGGGAAGATCACTTGAGCATAGGAGTTCAAAACTAGCCTGGGCAACATAGCAAGACCCCATCTCTAGTTATATATATATATATATATATATTTTTTTTTTTTTTTTTTTTTTTTGAGACAGAGTCTAGCTCTGTCACCCAAGCTGGAGTGCAGTGGCATGATCTTGGCTCACTGCAACCTCCACCTCCGGATTCAAGCGATTATCCTGCCTCAGCCTCCCGAATAGCTGAGATTACAGGCATGCGCCACCATACCCAGCTCCTTTTTGTATTTTTAGTAGAGATGGGGTTTCACCATGTTGGCCAGGCTGGCCTCAAACTCCTGACCTCAAGTGATCCACCCACCTTGGCCTCCTCAAAGTGCTGGGATTACAAGCATGAGCCATGGCGCCCATATTTAATTTTTTTAAATTAAGAAAATAAAATTTGCCATGCATGGTGGCTCATGCCTGTAATCCCAGCACTTTGGGAGGCCAAGGCAGGTAGGAGTTTGTGGCCAACCTGGTGACAGAGTAAGACTCTGTCTCAAAAAATAAAATAAAACAAAATAATTTAAAAAGACAGCAGTCACTGAATGTAGGGAGCACCATAATCTAATATGACCTCATTTTAACTTGATGACATCTGCAGAGACCCTATGTCCAAATAAGGCCACATGCACAGTTAAGGGCTGGGGAGAGGGGGACCTGAATGTTTGAGGACACCATTCAACGCACTGTAGATGGGACAGGGGGGCTCTGGGCCAGCGGGGCCCTGGGCCAGCGGGACCCTGACCAGCTCTCCCTTCACACCCCAGGACTTCCAGCCACTGCGCTATTTGGACGGTGTCCCCAGCTCCTTCCAATTCTTCCTTCCCTTGGGCTCCGGGGGAACTCTGCACCTGCCTGCCTCCTCCTTCCTTACCCCTCCCAAGGACAAGTGCCTCTCGCCAGACCTGCCCCTGCCTAAGCAGCTAGTGTGTCGCTGGGCCAAGGTGAGTGGGGGCCAGGAAGAGTGGTGTGGAGTCTGGGCAGGCCACCCCTCATGGGCTCAGAACCCTTCCCGGCCCCCACAGTGTAACCAGCTCTTTGAGCTCCTGCAAGACCTGGTGGACCACGTCAACGACTACCACGTCAAGCCCGAGAAGGACGCCGGGTACTGCTGCCACTGGGAGGGTTGTGCCCGCCATGGCCGAGGCTTCAACGCCAGGTGAGGGGAGAGAGAGAGGGGTGGAGGGAGGGCTAGGGTCATCAGCGAGCTGAGCCGCGCCCCCTGCCCTCCCTGGCACAGGTACAAGATGCTTATCCACATCCGCACACACACCAATGAGAAGCCGCACCGCTGCCCGACCTGCAGCAAGAGCTTCTCCCGCCTGGAGAACCTGAAGATCCACAACCGCTCACACACAGGTAAGAGGCTGAGGCCAGGCCAGGCAGCTCAGCCCATGAAGGGGATGCTCAGCTGAGACCAGCTGGGCAGGGCCCCAGGACGAGGGGACTATGAGCAAGGCCCGAGCCTCAGAGATGAGGGCCATCCAGGGGTCCCTTTTCCAATGCAGTTTGCTTGGGGGAAGCCTCCCTGAGGGTCAGACCCCCGCCCAGCACGTGCTCTTGGAGCACCAGTGCCATCTCCTGGGTCCCGTCTGTATCATCTGACTAATGCCACCTCTGTGATCGCTGAGGTTGGGTCGGCTTCACTCCTCATTACAGCCCAGGCCCACAGCAGGACAGCTCTGGCTGTTGGAGCCACAGACATAATTTTAAACTTCCTAATCGATGCATAAAAAAACAATAAAAAGAAATGGGTGAAATGAACGGGTGCGGTGGCTCACACCTGTAATTCCAACACTTTGGGAGGCTGAGGGGGCACATCACCTGAAGTGGGGAGTTCAAGACCAGCCTGACCAACATGGAGAAACCCTGTCTCTACTAAAAATACAAAATTGGCCAGGCATGGTGGCACATACCTGTAATCCCAGCCACTTGAGAGGCTGAAGAGGAGAATCACTTGAACCCAGGAGGTGGAGGCTGCAGTGAGCCGAGATCATGCGACTGCACTCCAGCCTGGGCAACAAGAGCGAAATTCCATCTCAAAAAAAAAAGAAATGGGTGAAATTAATTGCAATATGGTTCATTGACCCCGGTACCTCCAATGTTTTATCAATTCAGTATTAAAGACAAATTGGTGAGATACTAAAGTTCTTCATTTCATGACAAAGCCTCAGGAAGCTGGTATCTTTTTTCCTAGTGTTTATTTCACATTGGCAGCACATCTCCAGGTGGAAAGCCATGTGTCAAGCGGTCAGTTGCTACACGTGGCCCCCTCCTGTGGCCAGGGTAGCAGCAAATGCCTGGTGAAACTTGAGCCACATTGTTGAGTGAGGGTGGTGGTGTCCAGGCAGCATTCCCTGTGGCCAGGCCTGTGCTGGGCACCTTGTGCCAGAAGGTGATCTCCAAGGCCATGTTTTTTTTTTTTTTTTTCTTGAGACACACAGACTGGAGTGCAGTGGCATGATCTTTGCTCACTGCAACCTCTGCCTCTGGGTTCAAGTGATTCTCATGCCTCAGCCTCCCAGGTAGCTGGGATTACAGGCATCTGCCACCAAGCCCAGCTAATTTTTGTATTTTTAGTGGAGACAGGGTTTTACCATGTTGGACAGGTTGGTCTCAAACTCCTAGCCTCAAGTGATCTGCCTGCCCTGGCCTCCCAAAGTGCTGGGATTACAGGCATGAGCCACTGGGCCCGGCCTCCGAGGCCATGTTCTGCTGCTGAAAGGCACACCCTCTGTAGCAGAGGGTGCAGGGTGAGGCCAGGCAGAGCTGGACTCAGCCAGGCTGGGTTCTCAGCCTCTGTGCCCTGCCGGGGCATATCTCATGCCATGTGCTGGGGATGTCCCCTGTCCACAGAATTGGGGCATCTGTGCTTCCAGGGAGTGCTTGGCCCGGGGGATGTTGAGTGCATGGGGACTCAAGGGAGACTCCCCTCACAGCAGCCCCGCACCACCCTGCAGGTGAGAAGCCCTACGTCTGCCCCTATGAGGGCTGCAACAAACGTTATTCCAACTCCAGTGACCGCTTTAAGCACACTCGCACCCACTATGTGGACAAGCCCTACTACTGCAAGATGCCCGGCTGCCACAAGCGCTACACGGACCCCAGCTCACTGCGCAAGCATATCAAGGCCCACGGCCACTTCGTGTCCCATGAGCAGCAAGAGCTCCTGCAGCTGCGCCCACCCCCCAAGCCGCCACTGCCTGCCCCCGATGGCGGCCCCTATGTCAGCGGGGCCCAGATCATCATCCCTAACCCAGCCGCCCTCTTTGGAGGCCCTGGCCTGCCTGGCCTACCCCTGCCCCTGGCTCCCGGCCCCCTCGACCTCAGTGCCCTGGCTTGTGGCAGTGGTGGGGGCAGTGGAGGTGGAGGGGGCATGGGTCCTGGGCTGCCGGGCCCTGTGCTGCCTCTCAATCTGGCCAAGAACCCGCTGCTGCCCTCGCCCTTTGGGGCTGGCGGACTGGGCTTGCCTGTGGTCTCCCTCCTTGCTGGCTCTGCTGGTGGCAAGGGCGAGGTGGAGAAGGGGCGTGGGTCAGTGCCTGCCAGGGCCCTGGGCATGGAGGGCCGCAAGACGCCCCTCGAAAGGACGGAGAGCAGCTGCTCCCGGCCAAGCCCTGATGGACTCCCCCTGCTGCCGGGCACCGTGCTAGACCTGTCCACCGGCGTCAACTCCACCGCCAGCAGCCCAGAGGCACTGGCTCCTGGCTGGGTGGTCATCCCGCCGGGCTCCGTGCTGCTCAAACCGGCTGTGGTGAACTGAACCCACCCTGTGGACAACTATTACGGCCCTGCCGGCAGCTCCTGGCACTGCCCCCTGACGAACAGAAACTCTTCTGTGAAATAGCAATAATGTCCTACTGCCTGGGCAGCCCCAGCCTAGCCCGCCAGGGAGTAAGGATGGTGCTAGGTCATTCATGGCTGGTCTCCTGGTCCCTGGGTGGGGCTGGCCTGCCATTCGGGGGGAGCTGTGCTCCTGGGTGCTGACGCCTCGCTCCCCTCTGGCTCCCCCACCCAGCTCTCAGCTTCTGCCAGGCTTGTCCCTGCCCCTGTCCTCCCGTTTCTCTCCCACCCTGGTACCTTCCTCACCCAATGACTACCCCTTCTCCAGCAGAGAGGGTGGGTGGGACGGCATCTGCCCTCCCTGTTGGCGCCAGGCTCCCCTTCCTGAGAGGGACCCCCAGGGACCAGAAGCCCACCCATCCCTCCTAGGCTTACCCAGCCCCTGTCTTGGGGGCTCCTTGGACTCCTTTCTCTCTGACCCTGCCTCCAGAGGGAAAGCAAGACAGATGCAGGCCCCTTCAAAGCCCCAGGCAGAAGCATGCCCCCCAGGACAAAGGTGCCTCCTGCTAGTTAGAAGGGAGGCCCCGCACCTCGCTCTGCGGCCGCCCTTCTCACCCCAGGCCAGGCTGACAGCACTGCCCAAGGGACGCCACCTCCAGACTGAGGGGATAGCTGGCCACTCCATCTCTGCACCCCAGGGGGCCTCCTTCCTCTACCTTAGGTCACCCGAGGACAGTGAGAAGCCGGTCTGAGGGCCCCTGAGCTGGTGAGAGGAGGTACCAGGCCAGGTGTAGTGCCAGGACAGAGTGGCCTGGGCCCTGGCTCAGGGAGCATGTGGGGCCAGACCCAGCACCCGGTCTTCCTGCTTCCATCCCCACTGGGCCTGGCCTGGGCAGTGCCCCCTGCAGAGGCCTGCGGGCCTTGGTCCTGCACCAGGAGGGGGAGGCTGGCTGGGACACATCTCCTGGTCTGGGGCTCCAAGTGACAGCATGCAGGGGAGGGGGTTCCCGGCCAGTGCTGTGTTGGAACTTCCTGGAGGCTGTGGACTGAAGGCCTGAGGGAAGCGGTGGTTGGAGGACCACCTGTGACACTTGCTTCCTCAGGCTCTTTCCTTCCGAGCTGCTTTCTCAGAGGCGCTTCCCTACCCCTAATACCCAACGGGCTCTCTCAGGTTCTGTGCCACTCAAGGACTCTGGCAGGGGCCAGAACCATTTAAGGGTGCTGGAAGGCCTTGTGCCCCTTAATCCCATCCCAGGACACCCTGGGGGATGGATGCACCCATGCATCCCCCATCTGGGGCCTCCCCTCTGCTCCCTCTCCCACCTGGTGGCTGGGAGTTCTGGCTTCTGGGCCTGTGCTGTCACCAGGCCGTGGAATGGCCCAGCCTTTCCACCTCCCCATCTGTAGAACGAGGCAGCTGCCTGGATAGCACTGGGGTCCTCAGTGGCCCTGCAGATCCTCTGGCAGCTTTGCTGACCCCACCCTCTCCCAGACTGCCCTTCTGTCCCAGAGGGGTCACCCTGACCTGGCCTGCCCTGCCACTGGGCTTCGGACTCCAGCCCTAACAGGGCCCCGCCGCACTGGCTCTGCCCCTCGAAGGGGCTATGAGCAAGGTAGGAGGGAGCTGGTCTCCTTTCTTCGGGCCCCATGCAGGCCCCGAGCACCCCCCACCCCTGTGAGGGCCCCAGGCCTTAAGTCCCTGGTGGGGTCATGGGTTTCTGACTCAAGCGGAGCGGAGGAACAGGGCACTGGAAGGCCGACAAGCTCAGCATGCGATTCGGTGACGGACCAGGCTCGGAAGGGCCGGTGTACTTTTTGTGGTTGTCGTTGGTTTGTTGTTGCACATTCCAGGATATCAGTATTTTAACAGGTTCTAAGTGCCTTTCTATCGTAGCTATGTTTTTCCTCCTCTTGGCTCCATTGCTGTTAGCATAGAGTTTTAAAAAAAAAGAGATAAGCTAATGACTATAACAATATATTCCTCCATGGGAGAGGAAGTTTATAAAGAAACAATAAAAGTGAGTTGCAAAGATGGCTTGTGCGTGGTGGATGTGCCGGAGCCTGGCCCTGTGCCCGGCTGTGCGCTGCCCCGGAGCCCCTGCCAGCCTGATCTTCCCCGACTCTGCAGGTGCCCTTCCCTCTCAATCGGCAACTGAGAGCAGGACCTCGAAGGCTGGGGAGGAGGTAGGTGCTGAGGGCGCACAGGTGATGGGAGCTGAGACGGGAGATTCCAGACTGAGCATCCCAAGGTTCAGGTCCTTGGCCCACTACTGCCCAGTGAGGCTTCAGTAAGCAGTGGGTGGGTAGAGGCACCTCTTCCCCCAGCTGCATCCTGGGGTATTATGCCCAGATGACTGAGGTGCTGGTTCAAACTCACCCCAGGGACAGGGTGGCTGCCAAGAGAGCTCTGGGACCAGGGGACTGCCACCCTGTGGGAAGGGCAGGGGCACCCGATGGTGACTGGGAGCTGGGGTCTGGTAGGGCGCCACAGGAGGGAGCCTGGCGCTGGCACGGGTGCTGTGGAGGCAGGAGAGGCTGCATCCTGTACGTGACTGGACTTGGCTGGGGCCCGCTGGCTGGCTGGCTGCCTGCCTGCCAAGCTTGCCCAGCCAGGCCCCTCTGGGCTGTCAGGCTGTTGCCTCCCCAACCCAAGCACACACAGCCCTGCAACTGGCAGAGGAGCAGCCTGCCCTCTGGAATCTGGACCCATGCACATGAGAAATGCAGAAAAGACATTTATTACCAAGCTATAAATTAGAGGTGGCGGGATGGGTGTGGAGAGCCAAGCAGTCACGTGTGGGGCGTTCGCCCTTTTTCTCTGTCCTCCTGGGCCTGGATTCTGAATTCCTCATCCAGGCGCTCCTTTGCGCGAACCACCTGGTAGGTCACAGATAATCAGGCTGGGAGGCTAAGCCTCTCCCCTATGCCCCTTGCCCACATGGGACAGCCTCTTCCCATCTGGCCCAGGTCCGTTTTTTGGAGAGCAGTGGGTGGATACCAATGCTTCCTTCGGCGCTACCCCAGGGTCAGGGGTGGCCTGGGGAGACAGAGCCAGACTGCAGGGGCCCAGTGCATGCTGCGACTTCTGTGAGCTGAGAGCTGGTTCCAGCACCCCACCCGCTGGTGCTCCTGCTCCTTCCAAGTCCCAGCTGCTGGAGGGAGGGTTGCTGTCTGGAGTGACACAGCCTGAGTGGCTGGACCCCAGAGCTGAAGCAGTCAGAGGGGTAGCAGTTTAGGGGACTCCGTGAGGCTGGGGCACCATGGGAAGGCCTGGCACAGTTTTCTGTGTACTAAGCCCTTAGCTGGCCAGCTTCCCCCAGCCAGGAATTGAGTCCCAAGCGAGGAGAGGGGGTCCTGTGACTTCCCTCCTTCCAGAATCAAAGACCACTCACCTTTGACTGCAGGTAGAAGGAGCCACCCACGGATTTGTCATTCACCTTAAATAAGTGTTCATAGTTCTGCGGAGGAGAGGAGATGGCTGAGAGGACTGCAGACTGTAGGCGAGAGACGCCGGGCAGGCTATGTGAGGTCACATGAGAGAAGCCACAGGACTCCTCTCCACACTGCGTACCACACGCAGCTGTTGTGGCCACTGAGAGGCAGATGTGGACAGGTACCCTGGAGGGCGACATGGCTGCTAAAACTGTCCTGCCTCGGGCCTAAAACTTAACGAGTGAGAGCAAGCTGGAGTCCAAGCTGGCTATGGCCACAGCATCCAAACTGGACCTCTCTGCCAGGCCTCCCTTCACTCTTCCCGCCCTGGCAGCCTCTCCCCCTCAGGCTTTGGGGCAGCCCAGTGGCCTTACCTTCTGGACCTCCTCAGGGCTTAGCTTGGACACGTTGAGAATTTGCTGTGCCTCCTGGAGGCTGAGGCCAGAGAGGTTGGAAGCAGCTGCAGACCGGTGTCCAGTGCGTCCTCGGGCATCTGCTGCGGCCCGGCTGGCTGTGTGGACATGTGGGTGATGGCTCAGTCCTCAGCAGCCCAGACTTCGCCCTGGGCCTTCCAAGTGGGTGGCTCACCCCTGCCACCGGCACAGGATGAGAGACACAGGGACAGAGGTGGCGAGGAACCTCTTCTCCAGGAGTGGTTTCTTTTTTAGTGGGTAGTGGCTGGGACAGTGAGCATGGATGTGCCTCACTGGAGGAAAAGGGCAGGGTCTGACCACCAAACCTGGCTCCTAGTCCCCAACCTAGACCATGAAATGACAACCCACCCCCACATCCCAGGGCACAGCAAATTGTGGAGCTTTAGGCTCCGGTGGGGACTGGACAGTGGAGCTGTGGGCATGAGCGTGCTCTGCAGGCGCCCGGCTGCCCACCAGTCACCTAGACCACCAAAGCCGCTGCCTTGGGTGACCTCTTCCCTTTCAGTGACCCCAGAACCTAGAATCAGGAGCTGGTAAACTTTCCCTAAAGGCTCAGAAAGTAGATGTTTTAGGCTTCTCCGGCTCATGAGCCTACGTTGGACCCATTCAACTCTGTCTTGAAAGCAGCCCGTGGGCGTGTCTGTGCTCCAATCAAATTTATTTACAAAACCAGGGCTGGGCACCATGGCTCACACCTGTAATCCCAACACTTTGGGAGACTGAGGAGGATGGATCACCTGAGGTCAGGAGTTCCAGAGCAGCCTGGCCAACATGCTGAAACCCCCTCTCTACTAAAAATACAAAAGTTAGCCGGGTATGGTGGTGGGTGCCTGTAATCCCAGCTACTTGGGAGACTGAGAGAGGAGAATCACTTGAACCTGGGAGGCAGGACTTCCTGTGAGCCAAGATCGCCCCACTACACTCCAGCCTGGGTGATAGAGTGAGACTTCATCTCAAAAAAAAAAAAAAAAAAAAAAAAAAAGTTTATTTGTACAAAACCATTTATTTTTTATAAAACCAGGTGTCCAGATGGGCCAGTCTGCCAGCTCCTGCCCTGGATGCTCTTGCTAACCAGGTCCCAATGAAGGATGCCCCTACCATGGGAAGTGCCCCAGGCCACCCACGCTGCAGAACCATCAGGCCTGAGGTGCCCATGGCTACAGGGAAAATCTGACCTCGACAGGAGCTCCCATCCCAGAGGGGAGACAGGCCCATGCTTACCTGCAAACTCCTGCCGCAAGGCCCGTGCAAAGGCCCTGCCCACCACCTGCACACCCATCACAATGATCTGCGCCAGGTACTTGGCCTGTGGGCAAAGCAGGCACCTGGTTAGCAGACTGCTGGAGACCTGAGGTCATGAAGCACAGAGCTGCTGCCCCAAGCCACCCCCTCCAAAGCACCCTGACTGAAAGCTTCCATGATGGGTGGGTTAGATACTCATTGGACAGGCAGGTGGGGGGTGAATTTGACAGAACTCCAAGAGATCCTCCCTCATCCTTCAAGAAAGGCAAAGAGCAAAGGCAAAGCGGCTGCAGCCACCAGCTTCAGGAGGAAACATGGTGGCCTGGGAGCTAGAACACAGGGACGGTACCAGACCTGGCAGTATCTCCCCCTCAACTTTGGGGCCAAGATTGGTTTTCCTGTGTTTCTAAGATCATCAGCCCCAACCTTTATTTTACCAATGGGGAAACAGATCCATAGTAATTCTCCCAAGTACGATGATTTTAAGGCAGCTCCACTCAATAAAACAAACTTGCTAAGGGCCTACTTAGTACAAACCCATTTCCATCTTCAAGGAGCTAAAAGGCCACCAGGAGGGTATTTAAACACACCACAGACCACATGATGAGGGAGAGTCAGGCTCATCCATTTGTCATTTGTTCAGCCATTTGTTCACCCATTCATGCAAACATCTGCTGAAAGTCTACTCTGATCAGCACCTGAGCACAAAGCTAGCCTGGTCCCTGCCCCAGGTTGGGCACGCTGCTGGCCTGCCAGCGAATCCCACTGTTGCACAGCAGGCTGAATGTGCCTGAAGGCTGCACGTGTGATTCCACGCCCCACGGAGGCCCTGGGGAAGACTCAGTAAGAGGTGACCGGAAGCACAGAGAGTCAAGAGGGAAAACTTCCAGCTGAGATGGGGTTCTGTGAGAGAAGGGTGTTCTTTTTGGGCTGGGCTTTGCAGAGCAGGTAGAATCATGACAGAAATACTAGGGCTTTCTAGATGGAGGGACTAGGTTGAGCCGAAACTGGCAGGAGAGAAGGCAGAAGGGAGTTCCTGTGAGCCCCCAACAGCCTTGGCTGGCCGGGGAAACTGGGAATCTGGCAGATGCCATGGAAAGACGCACAGATCTTGTGTGAAACAAAGAGATTATATATAGACAGCATGTACAAAGGACCCAGTCACTGCGAAGCCGTAGATGCAGGGGCATGGTGTGGGCTGGAGGAGGCTTGGCATAGGCTGAGAGCTCATGTGGCACTGCCCAGTGACTCCCCCTTTCTTCCCAGTGCTTTTCGGTAGTTAGATTTCCCTTTAATCAACAAGTATCAACTGAGCCCACACACCAGGCACAGTGCCAAACACGTTCAATTCATTGTGCCATTTAATCCTGACAACTCATGGCAGTCAGTGACTGGCCAGAGGACATACAGTGGGTACCTTGGAGGCAGATGGGAAACCCAAGGCTGGTGCTACCAGTCACGGGAGTCACTACGCAGGGTCCTGGGTTCTGAAGGAAGGGTGCCTGAGCAAGCTGACAAGTATCAAGAGCCCAACCCTGAGGCTGGAGGGGCTTGCTCCACAGATTCCAGTGGATTCCAGACTCCAGAACTGGCCTTGTTCAGCCTCTGAGGACCTGCACTTTCCTAACAGGCCGGATGTGATTATGGGCCATTAGGGGAATGAACAAACACAAGTGGGTTAGGATTTCACAAGTAGGTGGAAATTTCATAACTTCTGGATTTCACAGCAGAAAGCAGAACCCAGAGATGACCATCCTGTGATCAAGGTGAGGGGTAGGGCTGTGGTCGCTGTGCTGCAGGTATGGGAGGGTCAGGGATGCACCTGCTGACACCTGTGGTCTCAGCTGACTTCACCACCTTCCTAAACACCCTCCTGAGTGGAACAGCAGGCTCAGGGATGGGATGCTGGTGCTGTCTGAAGGACAGAGGACAGAGGTGAAAGGCAGAGGGTCCCCTCAGCCTGGAACATGGCTCAGGTCTCAGGCTACCCCTCCCACCACATGGCCTTGAAATCACTTGTTTACTCTTCTGCCAAGGCCAATGACTAGACTATTACAAAATAATGCATGTTAAGAGCTGAGAGGCCAGGCGCGGTGGCTCAAGCCTGTAATCCCAGCACTTTGGGAGGCCGAGGCGAGTGGATAACGAGGTCAAGAGATCGAGACCATCCTGGTCAACATAGTGAAACCCCGTCTCTACTAAAAATACAAAAACATTAGCTGGGCATGGTGGCGCGTGCCTGTAATCCCAACTACTCAGGAGGTTGAGGCCGGAGAATTGCCTGAACCCAGGAGGCGGAGGTTGCGGTGAGCCGAGATCGCGCCATTGCACTCCAGCCTGGGGAACGAGAGAAACCCCCCCTCCAAAAAAAAAAAAAAAAAAAAAAAAAAAAAAGGAGCTGAGCCCATAACTGGGGAGCTTCCCCAACCAACCCCTGCACACTTCAAACCAAAGCGGCATGGTGGCCTGTGGCTTCTGCTGCCCAGAGCTGCAGGGCACAGGGGGGCTGGCCTGCAAAGTTACAGCAGACTGGATGGCACATGGAGGCCAGCAAGGTTCCTGCGAGAGGCATCTCCCAGAAGAGGCAGTGTAGTGTAATGGTTATAACACCCGCAGGCTTTGGGATCCCCTGTGTGCCAATCCTAGCTGTGTGACTCTGGACAAGGTCTCAACTCCTGAGCCCCAGTTTGCTTACTTGTAAAATGTGGCCACCAATAAAGCTGTCATATGAATTAAATGAGATAATGCCTGTCAAGTTCCTGGCACAGAGCCTAATTGTACAACAGGTGCTCAATAAACATTGGTTTTCATTCATTACTATTGTTTCACAAAACCTGACAAGGACCAGGCGATTTGAAGTAACAAAGCTTCTTTCAAAATGGCAGTTCACTTGATATAGGCTCTTTGCTTCCTCAGGGGTGAAGCCCACAAAACACCGTACTACATTCCCTCAGGGTGCTGGGAAGCAGCGAGGAAGCAGAATGAGAACCATGCTGACCTGGGACCAGAACCCTAGCTTTGTTTCTCGATAGCTGTGTGCTCCTGGACAAATTACTCAACCTCTCTGAACTTGTCTGTTTTGTTTTGACTTTTTTTTTTTTTTTTTTTTTTTTGAGTCTGAGTCTCACTGTGTCACCCAGGCTAGAGTACAGTGGCACGATCTCGGCTCACTATAAACTCTGCCTCCTGGGTTCAAGCGATTCTCCTGCCTCGGCCTCTGGAGCAGCTGGGACTACAGGTGAATGCCACCACGCCCATCTAATTCTGTACTCTTAGTAGAGATAGGGTTTCACCATGTTGGTCAGGCTGGTCTTGAACTCCTGACCTCATGAGATCTTGCTCTCCTCAGCCTCCCAAAGTGCTGGGATGATAGGCCTGAGCCACCACACCCAGCTAACTTTTTTAAAGATGAGGCTGTGCTATGTTGCCCAGACTGGTCTCAAACTCCTGACCTCAAGTGATCCACCCACCTCGGCCTCCAAAACTGTTGAGGTTATGGGCGTGAGCCACCATGCCTACCTTTTTTTTTTTTTTTTTTTTTAAGCAGAGTCCAACATTGTTGCCCAGGCTGGAGTGCAGTGGTGCAATCATGGCTCACTGGCAGCCTCAACTGCCTGGCCTCAAGACAGCCTCCTGCTTAAGCCTCCTGAGTAGCTAGGGCTACAGGCATATGCCACCCACCACACTTGGCTAAATTTTGTACTCTTCCGGAGAAGATGGGGTTTTGCCATGTTGCCCAGGCTCGTCTTAAAAATCCTGAGTTCACACGATCTGCCCTCCTCGGCTTCCCAAAGTGCTGGGATTACAGGCATGAGCCACTGTGCACAGCCGATCTCAGTTTTCTTAACTGCAAAATGGAGAGTATAATACCATCCTCACAAGAGGACAATAAGGCCCTCAGGAGGCAATGCCCATAATACTATGTGGACAGACAGCGGCAGGTCCAGAACTAGATGGCATAGCCAAGCCTCTTACCCACCTAAGCAGTACCGTAATGTCCCCGGAGCTCTTGCCATGGGTCAGGCTGGTTTCAGAGCTCATTCATGGGGACAGAGCTCTGCCAGCAGCAGCTACCATGGGTGACCAAAACAGCTACTGCCTGAGGCCCCTCCCAGAGGCTCCAAACATTCTATAGTCCACTGACTGACACTTGGGCCTGAGGGTCCCAGGCAAGAGGACCCAGCTGACGTGGCATCCAACTTCGGGCCACGAGGCTGCCAGAAAGCAGTAGTCAGAAGCACAGGACCCAACCCCAGGACGCGTGGGGGCAGCACATGCATGTCCTTGCTGGGCAGCAACCTGGCCTGAGGCAGGACCAGAGCCCAGCAGCTGGGACCACAGACAGTGCTGTGGGAGGCACTCAGCAATGGGGTTTATACTTATTTGTGTCTTTGAGATTTGCCTGCAACATGCCTTTGAGGCCAAGCCCCAGGCTCCGGGGAGATGAGCAGACAGCCTGATTCTCAAGGACACTCTAGTCACCCTGGGCCCCTGCAAACAGATGCTGGCATCACAACTAGGCAGGAGGAAGGTCAGGACCACAACTGTAGCACGTGCCATGGCATCCCGGGGCCTGGTCAGTGGCTGGCACAGCAAGTGTCCCCAAGGCATTTGAATGAATATGGCTGTTCAGCTTTGGCTAACCTGCTGTCTCATGAACTCCATGTCCCCAGGCAGGGTTTCCAGGCGCCTCCTAACCCTTTCTGCGGGAGAGTTCTGGCCATCTCCCAGTGTACACACAATTCTCCACTGCTGCCTACACAATCGGTCCACTCCCCAGCTTCACATTCACGGTGATGGGTCTGGGCTCAACTTGTCACCCTCACCTCTCTCCCCACTGCAGCCACACCCTCTGCTCCTAGAGCTGCTCTCATGCTTGTGGACTCTGCAGGGTCTTTGCTGTTCTGAATTCCTCCATCCTGACCATCCCCCCTTCTACCCTGACCCTGTCAAAACCCAACATACTTCAGGACTTAACATCATCCACCGTCCCCTGAGTGAAACCTTCTCAGGCTCTCCCATGTATACCTTCTGAAAGCACTTTCTTTTCCTGTTAACATACTGTCACGCTGGGTGCAGTGGCTCACGCCTATAATCCCAGCACTTTGGGAGGCCGACGCAGGACGACTGCTTGGGCCCAGGAGTTTGAGACCAGCCTGGCAACATGGCAAAACCTCATCTCCATGAAAAATACAAAAAATTGGTTGGGCATAGTGGAGCATGCCTGTCGTCCCAACCACCCAGAAGGCTGAGGCTACTCGGGAGGATGGGGTCAGAGGATTACTTGAGCCCCGGGAGGTCGAGGCTGCAGTAAGCTGTGATCGCACCACTGTACTCCAGCCTAGGAGACCCATCCTGGGCAATACAACAAGACCCCATCTCTAAAACAAATTTAAAAATTAGTCAGGGGTGCTGGCACCCACCTGTAGGCCCAATTACTTGGGAGTTTGAGGTAGGAGGCTTACTTGAGCCCAGGAGTTCAAGGCTGCAGTGAGCTAGGATAGCTGTACCGCACTCTAGCCTGGGTAACAGAGAGAGATCCTACCTCAAAAAACAAAGAAAAACATGAGTCTTGGGACACAGCCCTGGGCTCCAAAGAGGTCTCTGACACAGTGGGATGCATGACTGTGGAGGAGTCAAAACTGTCTGAACCTCAGGTTTCTTATCTGTAAAATAAGAACAATGACAGCAGGACTTCATAAACACTAAATGACAGAATCTACATAAAGCCTTAGCTCAGGGGCTGGCAATTGTAAGCTGTTAGCTGTTACATTATCCTTATTAGTATATTAGTTAAGAAGTGCTCCCCAAACTGCTTGCAACAGAGTCACTTGGGGAACTTACATATGCAGAACCTCCAGGGATATCGCACAAGAACCTGTTTTCTCTCTCTCTCTCTCTTTTTTTTTTTTTTTTTTTTGACAGAGTCTTGCTCTATCACCTAGGGCTGGAGTGCAGTGGCACAATCTCAGCTGATTGCAGCCTCTGCCTCCTGGTTCAAGCGATACTCATGCCTCAGCCTCCCAAGCAGCTAGGATTACAGATGCCTGCCACCATGCCTGGCTAATTTTTATATCTTTTTGAGACAGAGTCTCACTCTGTCACCCAGGCTGGAGTGCAGTGGCAGGATCTTGGTTCACAACCTCTGCCTCCCAGGGTCAAGCAGCTGGGACCACAGGACCACGCCACTCCACCCGGCTAATTTTCGTATTTTTAGTAGAAAGGGGGTTTTTACCACATTGGCCAGGCTGGTCTCAAATTTCTGACCTCATGATTCGCTCGCCTCAGCCTCCAAGAGTGTTGGGATTACAGGCGTGAGACTGCACTTTTTTTTTTTTTTTTGAGAGGGAGTCTCGCTCTATCGCCCAGGCTGGAGTGCAGTGGCGTGATCTCGGCTCACTACAACCTCCACTTTGCGGGTTCAAGCTATTCTCCTGCCTAAGCCTCCTGAGTAGCTGGGACTACAGGAGCGCGCCACCACGCCCAGCTAATTTTTGTATTTTTAGTAGAGACAGGGTTTCACCATGTTGGCCAGAATGATCTCGATCTCCTGACTTGGTGATCCACCCGACTCGGCCTCCCAACGTGCTGAGATTCCAGGCATGAGCAACCACGCCCAGCCAAGCCTGCACGTTGAAAGGTTCCCCACGTGACCTGACAGTCAGTGCGGCACAGGTCTGTGGACTGGCTCTACGAGAAAACGCTATCACACAAACGCTCCGTGCTTGGTGTCTCGGGGCCTAGTTCAAGCCCCAGGTCTGCCACTTTCCTGGAAAAGCCAACTTTCCAAATGGAGATAGCAACATCGACTCTGCAGTGCTGTAAGGTTCCAGGGGAGGTGCTCACCGGCCAGACCCACGCTCCACCGCCGCCCACGGCTACTGGCTCACACGCGGGCTAGACACAGCGCGACCACGTTTTCCCGGGCTCTTCCACGCAGACGGCTTTCTCTGGCCCTAATGCCGCCGCTGCCGCCACTGCTGGCCTAGGTCCCCCTGGATGCAACGCTTCCCAGACCCTGCTTCCTGCCGGGCACGCAGGGGGCGCACGGCGCCCGCCGCCCGGCTCCCAGCCCGACTCGGCCTCCCTTCCTCGGGCTGTGCCCGACTCGGGCCTCACCATGGCAGCTGCTCTGCCTCGGGGACTCAGGCTCCGACTTCCTGGCCTTGCGGCCCCGGCTCAAGGGTGGCCGGTGGGTCAGAGGTCAAGGGAAGCCGCAGAGAGCGCTTGCGCGAGACGGCACTGGGCATGCGTGTTACCTCGGTCCCGGGGCGGGGCGCCGGCGGTGTCGTAGCCGCTCGGGGCGGAGTCGGAGGCGGGATTTGACACAGGGCGGAGCCTGCTTCGGGCTCCGGACAACTGGGGACGGGCGTGGGGCGGTACCAGGAGCCTCAAGGGCCTGTGCGCCTACGCTGGTGCGCTGGAGCAGCTAAGCACATCGGTCAGACGTGGGCGATTTCTGCCCTTGATTTCGCCAAAATATTTGGGAATGCAACATTATATGAAATCAACGAACATATATGGAGTAGGATCCCAAATTCTCAGGAATATTGAAGAAAATAGGAAACTTCAAGATAGGTTTCATCCATAGTCCTCCTGCCTGGGACGCTCGTTTCCTCCTTCAAATAATTGCTCAAGTGTCACCTCAATGAGGCCCACCTAGACCCCTTACAACGCCGTGACTTGCCCCCCATGAATGAAAAAAGTAACAGCTTTACTGAGATATAATGCATACACTTGACATTTCACGATTGTCAAGTGCACAGTCCAATGCCTTTTATTCACAGAGCTGTGCCACTGTCCACTATTAGTTCCAGTACGTTTTCATCACCCATTAATCACTCCCCTCCCCCAGCCTCCGTCAACCACTCATTTTTCTCCCCGTGGATTCGCAGGTTCTGGACATTTCATAGAAACGGAATCATACAAGCTGGGCGTGGTGGCTCACGCTGGTAATCTCAACAGTTTGGGAGGCCGAGGTGAGAGGATCACTTGAGGCCAGGAACTCAAGATCAGCCTGGGGAACATGGTGAAACCCCATCTCTACAAAGAGTACAAAAATTAGCCAGGTGTGGTGGCAGGCGCCTGTAGTCCCATCTACTTGGGAGGCTGAGAGGTGGGAGGATCACTTGAGCCTGGGGGGTAGAAGCTGCAGTGAGCTGTGATCATGCCACTGTACTCCAGCCTGGATGACAGAGCAAGGCCCTGCCACAAAAACAAAACAAAACAAAACAAAAAACAGAAAAAAAAGGAAAAAAAAACCAAAAACAATGAAATTCAATCATACAACGTGCAGCCTTTTGTGACTGGCTTATTCTCCCTTCTTGATAGTCTCTATATTTTTTGTCCAAGACTCTGACCACCCTCTACCATAAAACATAATTTACTTATTTATTATTTTGAGACAGAGTCTCACCCTGCCACCCAAGCTGGAATGCAGTGGCACGATCCTGGTTGACTGCAACCTCCACCTCTCAGGTTCAAGCGATGCTCATGCTTTACCCTCCTGAGAAGCTGGGATTACAGGCACGGACCACCATGCCCCACTAATTTTTGAATTTTTAGTAGAGACAGGGTTTCGCCATGTTGCTCAGGCTGGTCTCAAACCCTTCACCTCAAGTGATCCACCCACCTCAGCCTCCCAAAGTGCTGGGATTAAAGGTGTGTGTTACCGTGCCCGACCTATTTATTGTTTTATTTTTTTCCTTTTTTTTTTTTTGAGACGAAGTCTTGCTCTGTCACCCAGGCTGGAGTGCAGTGATACAATCTCAGCTCACTAAAATTTCCACTTCCCGGGTTCAAGTGATCCTACTACCTCAGTCTCCCATCATGCCCAGCCCACACCTGGCATATTTTTTTTTTTTTGGAGACAAGAGTCTCACTCTGTTGCCCAGGCTGCAATGCAGTAGTATGATCATGCCTCACTTCGATCTTGACCTTCCAGCATTTGAGCGATACTCTTACCTCAGGTTGCTGAGTAGCTGGGACCACGTGCCTGGCTAATGTTTGTATTCTCTGTAGAGATAAGGGTCTCCCTATGTTGCCCCGTCTGATCTCAAACTCCTAGGTTCAAGCAATCCTCACACCTTGGCCTCCCTTTATTTTTGTTTATTGTTGAGAATCTCTTCCCTTCCACTAGAGTGGGAGTTCCTATTGGGCAAGACTTTTCTCTCTCTGCTCTCAGATGTCAAGTGCCTGGAACAGCATGTGGTGCACGGCATTCAGCAAATGGTGGGATGAAAGTTGGGCCGCCTGGCCCCCTGCTCAGCACCACTGCTCTTCTTCCCCTTCCTCCCATTCTCCACGTTCCTCCCTCTGTGCCCACATTGTCCTTCCTTGCTTGCCTGGAAGCGGCTCTCTCCCTGCCTGGCTCCTCATCAGCCCTCAGGTCTTGTCTCTTACCTCAAAATCACCTTCTCAAACCCTGAATCTCAGTCGCTTCTTGTTCCCCAGTTTCTTTTTTTTTTTTTGTTTTTTTTTGTTTTTTTGAGACGGAGTCTTGCTCTGTCGCCCAGGCTAGAGTGCAACAGCATGATCTCGGCTCACTGCAACCTCTGCCTTCTGGTTTCAAGTGGTTCTCCTGCCTCAGCTTCCCCAGTAGCTGGGATTATAGGTACCCATCACCACACCTGGCTCATTTTTTTCTTTTTTTTGAGACAAAGTCTCACTGGCACCCAGACTGGAGTGCAGTGGCGCAATCTTGACTCACTGCAACCTCCACCTCCCGGGTTCAAGCGATTCTCCTGCCTAAGCCTCCCCAGTAGCTGGGTCTACAGGTGTGTGCCACCACACTCAGCTAATTTTTTTTTTTTTAAATTTTTAGTAGAGATGAGGTTTCACCATGTTGTCCAGGCTGGTCTCGAACTCTTGACATCAGGTGATCCGCCTGCCTTGGCCTCCCAAAGTGCTGGGATTACAGATGTGAGCCACTGCGCCTGGCCTAATTTTTGTATTTTTAATAGAGACGAGGTTTTACCATGTTGGCCAGGCTAGTCTTGAACTCCTAACCTCAAGAGATCCTCCCACCTTGGCCTCCCAAAGTGCTTGGATTACAGGTGTGAGTAACTACACCCAGCCAGTTTCTCTTCCTTACTGCTGTCTTTGCACCCTATCTGCTTGCCTGCAGACAGTCTAATCCCCCCACATAAGAAGGCTGTAGGAAGCTGAAGCTCCTTGCAAGACCTTGTCTCTCCTGTCCTTTACAGCATCCCGCCATCCAGAGCACTGCAGGTACCTGCGTGGTGAACGAATGACTTCCAGCAGTGCGCAGCTGATCAGGTCTTGGGAGCAGAGTGAGGCTAAGATACAGGGAAGCCCAAGTCCAAACCCCTGTCACCCACATTCCTGTCCCCTTCGCCTGCCAACCAGCCCAGAGACCACAGCAGCATAAGAGGTGGCCAGCTTAAAAAAGTTTAATTGCTGAGAACATCCAGAGCAGGGGCCAGTCTTTGTGGGGCTCACACCCCCCCTTATTGGACCATCAGCTCTGCGATGACTCCTTCTCCTGGCTACAAACCTGGGAAGCAGGGCAGCTGGTCCCAGGGCCCTGAGACTGGTGCTGCTCCAGAAGGCCTGGTGGGAGGCCAGCCCCCAAGGCCCTCGACCAGAACTGGGGCAGCAGGCAAGATGGGGCAGCGTGGGGTGAGCAAAGGTGCTGGATGAGGCCAGCCCAGGATGGGACCAGCCCAGGACAGCAGAGAGACCAAGGGAGACAGGTACCCAGGGCCTGCCCAGGGACATGCTACTGACCCCCCCCACCACTCTACACCCCTGGCTACATGCTAGTGGGCAGCTGATGAGCAGCAGCTGACCCCAGAGACAGCAGAGATGAGAACAGTCCCTGGGAGCTGCCAGAGGCCCAGAAGCTGTGGAAGTGCCCACGGGAAGCCAGGGCTGCAGGGGTGAGAAGTGCCAGCGCCAGAGAGGCATCTTCCAGCCTGAGGATGAGCTGTGAGGTGTGCATTAGGAGGCCGCAGCACAGGTGAGGTGGAGGTGACAGGGGCGCAGGCTAGTCCTGGGGCGAAACACCAAGAGGTGGGAGGGAGTCAGGAGGGCCTGGGAGGGCAGGAGATGCGTGCTGTGGCATGTGCCAAGGGATGGCGCTGCCTGCCGGGAAATGGGGCCATTTGCCACTCACCCACTCATCCTCGTCCACACCTTCAAAGGAGTCCTGGGGGAGCGGGTCGTCCCTGTTCCCCAGCTTTGCCACCATGGCATTCAGCAGCTGGGAGACAGGGCAGGAGAAGGGTCAGGAAAGGCATAGGACTCCCTCCCACTCCAAGAACAAACCTGACAATGCTGTGAAAGAGCTTGTTTTTTGTTTTTGGAGAGGCAGGGTCTTGCTCTGTCACTCAGGCTGGAGTGCAGTGGTGCAATCATGGCTCACTGTAGCCTTAACTTTCTGGGTGCAAGTGATCCTCATGCCTCAGCCTCCCAATTGGCTGGGACAAGTGTGTAACACCACACATGGTTAATTTTTTTTTTTTCTTTTGAGACAGAATTTCACTCTTGTTGCCCAAGCTGGAGTACAATGGCATAATCTCAGCTCACTGCAACCTCTGCCTCTCAGGTTCAAGCAATTCTTCTGCCTCAGACTCCCAAGTAGCTGGGATTACAGGCATGCACCACCCTGCCTGGCTAATTTTGTATTTTTAGTAGAGATGGGGTTTCTCCGTGTTGGTCAGGTTGGTCTCAAACTCCTGACCTCAGGTGATCCACCTGCCTCAGCCTCCTGAAGTGCTGGGATTATAGACATGAGCCACCGGTTAATTTTTAAAAATTTTTTGTGGAGATGGTCTCAAGCTCCTGGCCTTAAGCGATCCTCCTGCTTTGGCCTTCTAAAGTGCTGGGATTACAAGTGTGAACCACCACACCTGGCCAAAATAGCTATTTTATTTTATTTTATTTTTTACTTATTTATTTATTTATTTGAGATAGAGTCTCGCTCTGTCACCCAGGCTGGAGTGCAATGGCTTGATCTTGGCTCACTGCAACTTCCACCTCCTGGGTTCAAGTGATTCTCCTGCCTCAGCCTCCTGAGTAGCAGGGATCACAGGTGCACGCCACCACACCTGGCTAAAATTTTGTATTTTAGTAAAGATGGGGTTGTTTCACCGTGTTGCCCAGGATGGTCTCAAACTCCTGAGCTCAGGTGATCCACCCGCCTTGGCCTCCCAAAGTGCTAGGATTACCAATGTGAGCCACCTCGCCCAGCCTCAGAACAGTCATTTTAATTAAAGCCCTGACAA